CTCAAGAGACTGAGGCAGGCAGATCCCAAGTTTGAGGCCAGCTTGAGCAATGTAGAGAGATCCTGTCTCAAAATCATAGTAAGAAGGGCTGAGGATATAGCTCAATGGTAAAGCACCTCTGGGTTCAATCCCCAGTACTAAAAAGAAGAAGGAAGAGGAGGAGAAGGAAGAGGAGGAGGAGGAGGAGGAGGAAGGGGAGGAGGAAGGGGAGGAGGAAGGGAAGGGGGGAGCAGGGGAAGGGGAAGGGGAGGAGGAGGAGGAGGGGGAGGGGAAGGGGAGGAGGAGGGGAAAGGGAGGAGCAGGGGAAGGGGAAGGGGAGGAGAAGGAGAAGGGAAGGGGAGGAGGAGGAGGGGAAGGGGAGGAGGAGGAGGAGAAGGGGAAGAGAAGAAGAGTAGGAGGTAAGGGAAGAGGAAGGATGAGGAGGGGAGAGGGGGAGCATAGGAGGGGGAGGGGAGGGGGAGCAGAGGAGGGGGAAGGGGAGGAGGAGGCGAAGAAGAAAAAAGGAAATGGAGCAGTGTAGGGCAGTTGCTGCTTGTATTAAGTGACAGTGACAGAATGCTGTATCACCCTTATCTATTTCAAGCTGAAGTGTTATTTCCAGGGTCCAGACAAAAGCTTCAATCTTATTGTTTCTTGGGTGGGTGCTATATGCAAAAGGAGACTGGAAATGCCATTAGATCACACTGTGTTGAAGCTCTTGCTGTTACAGGGCCTCATACACCTGGATGCGAATTACTCATTCCTTTTTTAAAAGTCAATTAGGAGGCCGCATGAGATGGTGCACATCTATAATCCCCATAGTTTAGGAGGCTGAGGCAGGAGGATCCTGAGTTCAAAGTCAGCCTCAGCAACGGCGAGGTGCAAGCAACTCAGTGAAAGCAGCTCAATGAGACCCCGACTCAAAAAAAAAAAAAAAAAAAAATCAAAATAGGGCTGGGATGTGGCTCAGTGGTTGAGTGACCCTGAGTTCAATCCCCGGTACTGGGGGAAAAAAAAGTCAATTAGGAGCTGGGGAATTATGTATAAGTTCAGTGGTTGAGGGCTTATCTCACTTGTATGAAGCACTGATTTTGATCCTCAGCACCACATAAAAGTAAATGAAATATTGGGGCTGGGGATATGGCTCAAGCGGTAGCATGCTCGCCTGGCATGCGTGCGGCCCAGGTTCGATCCTCAGTACCACATACAAACAAAGATGTTGTGTCTGCCGAAAAAACTAAAAAATAAATATTAAAAAATTCTCTCTCTCTTTAAAAAAAAAGTAAATGAAATAAAGGTATTGTGTCCATCTACAGCCAAAAATATTTTAAAAAGTCAATCAAAATTGAGGAAGTATGCTAGTATTATGAATATCAACAGAATTATTTTTCAACATGCAAAAGTTCATGAAACTGTTGTCCAGATTTATCCTTATAAACTACAACTTATATTAATTTGTAACAATTTCTAAATATCCATAGGTTTTCATTTTAAGAATGTTTAGCTGTTTTCCCCACACTGATGGGACAGTGATTTCTTATGTTCTTTTTTTCCCTCTCTCTTATGTTCTTGAGAACTATTGAGATTAATAGTAGAGATAAAAGCTCAAATTGAACAATTTTCTTAGAAGCTTCATGGAAGTTTTCCTCATTAAATATTGGGCTGAGTTGTCCTCAGACATTATGAAATTTCTGGAGAGGTTTGAATGGAAGAGTTCTTCTTCAGCGAGGGGATTTAGACACATCTTGCTGTAGGCACAGACTAAATTATTCTGATACTGTCTTTATTCTGTGACCACCAGGCTCAGGATGACTTTTCATGGTGGCAGGCTCTGTCACAGTGTCTGTGAACTAACAGGTTAAGGGAAATCACTATGGCAACCCTGAGCAGTCTATAAGGGGAGGCTGATCACAGAGCCCAAGCTAGGGAGGAAACAAAGGCTTAAAGGGAGTTACTAAAATGGACTGACATTGATAGCACAACTAATGTAATTGGCAAGGTTTATCTTAATGGTAGATTGCCCCTTAGTTTGAATATGCTGATTTCTACATTCATTCAACAAATCTTCATTGAATACCGGGCTGCATGTTAGTAACGGGGCAGGTCAGGGAATAAAAGATAAGCAAACCATCATGGTTTCTGATTTCATAGAGCTCACAGTCTGATATGGGAGACCAATACTGACTAACTCACCATACAAATACAGACTCTGATAAATGTCCTGAAATAAATTACAGGGCATGGTGAGGTTGTCCAAAATGGAAACCTAGTTGGGATGAAAATATGGTGGTCARATTTGAAACTCTGGGCTTCTCTGAGGCTCTCTGAGGACATAGAAACTAGACAACCAGAGAAATGGGAACTTTTCAGGAAGGATCATGGGCAAAGGTCTAAGGTGTCAAGGTGAAGAGGATGGTGGCCCAAAAGTGGGCTAATGAGGCTTGTTGGGGAACAGGGTTTATGTCACGAATGTTAGTCTTTAGTCCAAGTATAGTGAGAATGCATTGAAGTGTTTAAGAAAGTGGTGGTGGGGAGAAGAATAGAAGATTTGATTTTAATGAATAATTATGACTGTAGTGAGAGGAAATTATCAAAGGTGCACCAGGACAAACATGGCTATAGCTGATACAATAGATGACATGGTGACAGCTTGAACAGGTGATTACGCTGGGGTTGAAGAGAAGTAGATGGACTTGAGAGCTCTTCAGGAGATAAAATTAGCAGTAGAGTAGTTGGTGCTGGGTTTGGGAAAGGATACGTGGAGTGGGGGAGATAGAAACTTCAGATTTGAATATATTGTGAATGTCTAGGTGGAGCTAGAGTGGGCCCAGTGGGATTCGTAGATCAGATCAGAAGGAAGGTTTGGAAAATTCTCCTGGTCCCTCCAAACTAAGTGACAAAGGGTACTCCAAGCTGGATGTGGCAGAAAACATCGAAATTCATGTTGGCCTTGAACTCTGGGAGAAACTCCTCTAAAGCATCCTGAGTATTGGCCTCGGTCTTCGATTTGTATTAAGCTGTATTATTATATTAAGAAGAAAAAGTTCATATCTAACTTATTCCTTATTGTAGACCAGTATGCCCAGTCCATAATATGTTTCCTCAAATATTTACAGAAAAAATTAAAGAGTTATTTTCCCCCAAAAGCACAGAGAAGAAGATGTGAGGGTGAGATGGAGAGAAGTCTAGCAACCCACATCTGATGCCCTCCTGTGACCTTCCCCTGCTTCCTCCCTCCCTCCCAGGTCTGTGGTTTTGTTGAGACTTCTCTACACTGAAACACCTCACCTTCTCCTTTAGTTTATAGACCTTTTAAAGTTGCTTGAGTGAATATATTTGGCTTTATTTTGGAGTGATATCATGTTTGGTGACACTAGTTTTAAGGAGAGAAGTTTTTGGTGGTTGAAACAAAGAGTTATCAAATTGTAACTATTAGAAGAAATGAGAAAGAACTCAATAGGCAAAACAAAGGAACAACACAAATTAGGTTGGCCCAACAGTGTGGCAGGAAGTAGAGGAGGTTCCTTCACATTCTTAAATTCCTGTTAACTCTGGGAGGTCTGGAAAGTCAGGGAACAGCATGTCACAAATTTTAAGGCACTGAAGTGAAGCCAAGAGCTAGGAATTCAAGATCAGAAGAAAGGACCATTGAAAACAATATTGGTGAACTTCAGCTCCACGGATAGGTGGTGAGGTGGTTAACTGAAACCAGGAGAAATCAGAAATCTATAGATGAAGTGTCTCTGAGCAAGAATCAAGCTACTTCACAGGTAGATGGTAATGAGAGTTCAGCCAACTTTGAGAATTCTTCTCTCATTCTTGCTGTGATTTTTTCTTTTTTGGATACAAAAAGGATGAGCCCATATTCCCTCAAAATTATAACATATATGTTCAGGTGGACTGACACCAATCGGTAATTATATTTTTCAGTAGTTATTATGTTGTATACTTAAAAAAAGGAAAAAAAATTATTACATGTGCAGATGTTTCTAGAAAGGTGAATGAAATGAATAGAATCACTGATACCTTTAAATGGTCATGTTAAAGCAGATGTTAAATATTTTCTTTATAATAAGCATTTGCACATTTTCCTGGCCCTTCCACACCATATTATTCTGCAAAAAAAATGTTGAATTCTGCCACTCCAGTCCAGGCTTCTTCATGTAAACATTCAACAAGTGGTACTGGGAATGAAATCTGGGAAACATCTGTTTAGGGAACAATTTCTTCTGGGTGTGGTGCTACTCATAATCAACCCAACTTAGAACCATAGATATAGCAAGATGCTATCATCACTGTAGGCTGAAAAGCCTTTCACTTCAGTTCTGTCTTTTTGGGCTTCAGAGATGCCTAAAAGGCAGGACTTCCAACCATCTCAGGTGTAAGTTGTACCAGATATTCTGGTTCTTGTTATTTTGACAATTACCAGAATAAACATGAATATCCTATATTTTTCTCCTTTGGAGTGGTTGTTTACTTTGCAATCCCCACTTCCACCAGAAAGCTGTGTGCATCAATGATCACAGTGACCTTCAGTAGGCTATCCATCCTTTATGTCTCCTTCTTAAACAGGAAGAGTTATCCTGCAGTCTCCCACTCTACATATTCATTTTTTTGCAGCTTCTTATTTCCTTTCCTCTCTTTTTCATCTTTTCTACTTGCGGGTCTACCTACTGCTTTTCTGTTGCCCTTTATTTATACCAATGTCACATAATGCTTTCTCTCTCTTCCTTTCTGGTTCCCATCCAACCTTATGAGAGCTGAGTTCCAGTCCTTCGGTCTTATTTTCAGCAAATAACAGAACATTTTTAACCCACTTATGAAAGCATTCTGGTTACCTTAGTATTGATAGGAGATAGTACTTGACATTCAGGATTATTCAATAAGCATGGGGAAGGATTATTCAATATTCAATAAGGTATACATTATTTGGAGGAAGTCTTCCAATTTCTCTTATATTCTATCCAGCAGGCAAAGCCTCAGGACTGTTTTTGCCTATGTGATGTGCCATCTCTATCCTTCTTGTCAAAGAAGGCTTGAGAAGGGACCCTGAGACACTACTGATGATTGTAAGACTCCTTCTTTTCTATAAATAAGCCTGGTTTAAATGAGTCCAGGTTGGATTAGGTAAGGAATGGGATGGAAAAGTAGATGTGTCCTTGAATTTGGCTAATCCCATAGCCTGGGGAAGGTATCTGTGATCAGCTGAGTCACACGGCTTTGGGATTAGCCAGCTCTACTTTCTCTTTCAACAATAAAAAGTCTTGCAAAACTGCTGGCATGTGAGAAAGAGGGATCCAAAAAGTCTTGGCATCTTTTCCAGCAGCATAGCGAGTCTTTGGAAAGAGACTTGTCAGAGCATGGTCCATGCACTCTACCACCAGAGAGAGGTCCAAATTCACCCAGGTTGTAGTGCTTTTCAGCTTGTCTAGACCTATAAAAAGAGACAAAAAGCACACTTATTCTTCAAAAGAGGAAGAGCAGAATGGGAGGCTAGGGGACAAGGTGGAGGTTGTATGTGAGGGAATTTATTTTGAATTTATTATTATAATTGAGACCCACTCTGATTGTTTTCTACTTAGTCCTCAGAAAAGGATGCTATAGTGCTTTCTTTAGATCAGGGCTCTCTAAATAGGGCGGACAGCAGAGTTGCTTGGAGAGCTTACAAATATTGAAATTTCTGAGTTCCTGAGTCAGTAGGTACTTGCATTTCAAACAAATCTCCAAGGGGTGCTAATGTTGCTAGTCCAGGGACTGAACTTTGAAGACTACTGCTCTAAAGCAATGGGGAAAGATACTGTATATCATGAAGCTCCTGACTCTAAGAAGCCATGGGTTTGATTATTAATTTGTTTTAAGGGAGTGCTGTGTTTATAGGAAATGTAGGTGTGCACGTGTGCTTGGGCACATGTGTGCATGCACATGTGTTATGAGAGAGTGCACTCACATGCTTCCCCACTCTATAATTCTATGTAAAAAGAGCAATTCATTCCATAAATGTCCCTAATCAGGAAGCTTAAGTATGTGGTTCTCAGGCAGGTGAAGTACTTGTGTGATGGGCTAAGACATATTTAGAGAGATAGGTATTTGATGAGGGCTTGCTAATGGTTTGGAGCCTCAGGCTTTCATTGTGAAGAGTGAATATTCACATGCAGAGAAATTAAATTGGATTCTTCTCTCATACCATATAAAAAAGCAACTCAAAATGGATTAAAGAGTTAGATGTACCACCAGAAGCTGTAAAATTACTAGAAGAAAATATGGGGAAAAAACTTCTCGTCTTTGGTCTGGGCAAAGATTTTTTTAGACATGACCCCCAAAACATGGATAACCATGCAAAAATATAGTTGGAATTACAGCAAATGAAAAATCTTTCTAACAGCAAAGGAAACAGTTAAAACAATGAAGAGACAACTTATGGAATGGTAAATTTACTTGCAAACCATACATCTGATAAGGGAATAATATCCAAAAATGTAAAAGGAACTAAAAAACCTCAATAGCAAGAAAATAAAAATCTGATTTACAAAATGGAAAGGGAGCCAGGCACAATGGCACATGCCTGTAATCTAAGGGACTTAGCAGGCCGAGGCAGAAAGATTGCAAGTTCAAAATCATCCTCAGCAACTTAGCAAGATCCTGTCTCAAAATAAAAAGTAAAAAGGGCTGGGGATATAGCTCAGTAGTGGAGAACCCTTGGGTTCAATCCCTAGCACTGCAAAATAAAATAAAATAAAATTTAGAATGAATAAATAAATAAATAAATGGAATAGGACCTAAATAGACATTTCTCAAAAGAAGATATACAAATGGCCAACAGGCATGTGAAAAAAATATGATCATATCACTACTTATCGGAGAAATATAAATTCAAACCATAATGACATATCATACCTGTTAAAATGAATATTATGAAAAAAACAAGAGATAACAAACATTGATAAAGGTGTACAGAAAGGGGAACTCTTGCATATCGTTGGTGGAAATGTAACTTAGTATAGTCATTATGGAAAACAATATGGAGATTTCTCAAAAAAATTCTAAGTACTATATGATTCTCATATGCTTTTAAAATATACCTGAGTTGTCTTCTCAAGAGAAAATTTATGACTCTAGATTTTTCTTATAACTTTAGTGCCAACTAAATATAAATTGTTCAAAGAATACAATAAGTCTTAAATTAATGATTATTTGAGATTCCTACCACCCTAGCCAGGAAAATGAAGAAAATTAGCTTTAAATGTATGGCCTATTTTGGGTCTGTGGATACGGCCGATGTCTAGGTCCAGACTTGGAAAAACTTAAAAATAACCAGCATAAAACTGGGCTAATGCTTTTTGATATATCTTGGTATAGAAGATTTAAATGTTTCCAACACAAAGAAATGATAGATATTGAAAATAATCAGTATAGCAATTACCCTGATCTGATCATTTCACTTTGTATACATGTACTGAAATATCACACGGTGCTCCATAAATATGTATCAATTATAATGTGTCAATTAAATAAAGATAGCTTGAAATTTGGAATTTGGTGATGTACTCATAGGCATTTAAAAAGTATAAGTGTCCATTTCAAACATAGAAAGGCTTTTAAATGAGGGATTTTTTTTCTGAAGTATTAAATCTGAAGGATTAAGTTTATTCTTACACCGAACCTGCACAGAAACTTGAATCAGTATGTGAGAAATAGAGCCTTTTTTTTTTTTTATAAACAATAGAAGTTTATTTATGACTGTTGTGGAGGCTGGGAAGTCCAAGATCAAGGGGTTGGCAGATTTGCATTCTGGTGAGAGTTCATGTCTTGATTCATAGATGGTCAATATGGAAGAGGCAAGGCAACCCTTTAGGGTTTCTTATAAGGCATTAATCCCATTCATGAAGGTGTGCCTTCACAATCCAATCAAGTCCAAAGCCTACCTCCTAATGCCAGCCCAGTAGTGTTGAGGTTTTCAACATGTTCTTCCGTGTAGGATGGGATTACTTCCTGATCAACTCATTGTGAGTTGAAATCATAAGTTGGAAATATATTTAGTATATCTGACCTACCACCAAACATCATGGCTTAGTACAGCCCACCTTAAATGTTCTCAGAAAATTTATATTCACTTACAGTTGAGTGAATTACCTAACATAAAGCCTAGTGAATAACAAAGTGTTGACTATCTCATGTAATTTATTGACTACTTGACTAAACATGGGAAACAGATGTTTGTATGGTTAGATTTTTCACTCCATTGAAAAGTTAAAAAATCTTAAGTTGAACCATCA